GCTGGAGGGATACCCAGGACATCTGCCTCCAAGCCTGACTGTTTCCATTATCCCACCTCAGGACTCCTAAGAGAAGGGAGGAGTTTGAATGGGTTGTGAGACTGGGGACAATGCATGAGCTAGATCTGCACTAAAACAGTGAAGAAGCACTCTCCCTCCCCTCACCCCATGCCCTCCTCCAAGGACTGCAATCATCCCCTCTGACCCTCTGATTTACCAGGCACCCCTTACTCTCCCTCTCCCCACAATGGTTAAGAGAATAGGGGAGGGAAGAAGGAGAAATTGCTTTTGCCTTTCTTGGCCTCTTTCTCCAGGGGTCTCTGCCTTTCTGCCTTTTACTTTTCCCCGCACCAGCGGATTCACTTCACAGTTGAGTGCCTACTGTGTGCCAAGAGCTCTGCCTTCCTCTGGGGATAAGAAAACGAGAAAGACAGCTCCTGCCCCTCAAAGAACTTACTGTCTAGGTGGGAATGATTGTAACAAATTCCTTCAGTGTTAAAATTAAGTATCATCCCCATCATCGGAGGGAGGACAGGGATAATTCAGGGAAGGTGACCTGGATGGAGCTGACACATAGGGTTTGACAGGTTCCAGAACTCTCTTTATTGCAATTCAAATCTGGACACAGGTAAATAATGTCTTTCTGACTGAATTCCTTTCAGTCTTCCTGAGAGATGGGCAAGCTCATTCTGGAACAAGGAAGACAGGTGGGGTGAAGAGACCACTCCCCAAGGACATAGGCCCAGGACACTTGTGTTCTCCTGGCCACCACTGCCCACCCACACTTCTCCCAGGACCAGCCTTCTTCCAAACCTTTCACAGCCCTTGACTATATTCTGTGGTGTTCACCGTGGATACCCTGGCCACAGCCAGCCTCAGAGTCAGACTATTGAGAAACAGAGCAACACTGATCCTTGCTGAATTAATATGGGGAGCTGAAGTCTCTCTGAGTCAGAGATAAACTTGGCAGGTCAGCCTCATTAAAAGCTTTAATTACAATTCCAGGGGGTTAGCGCATAGCTCAGTGTTGGAGTACATGTTTAGCATGCAGGAGGTCCTGGGTTCAATCTTTGGTACCTCCATTAAAAATAAATAAATCTAATAACCCTCTCCCTGAAAAAAAGAGAAAAAAGAAAGTTTCTTGGTGATGGCTGCACAACGATGTGAGTGTATTTAATGCCACTGTACTGTACACTTACAAATGGTTAAAATGGTACCTTTTTTTAATAGACTTTATTCTTTTAGAGCAGTTTCAGGTTCACAATAGAAATGAGCAGAAAATACAGAGTTCACATATAGCCCTCCCCACCTACACATATATACTCCCCTACCCTCATCATCCCTTCTCAGTGTGGTATATTTGGTACAATCTATGAACCAACATGGGCACATTATTATCAACCGAAGTCCATAGTTTACATTAAGGTTCACTCTTGATATTGTACATTGTGTGGGTTTTGACAAATGCATAATGACATGTTACATGTCATTAAAATGGTACATTTTATGTTATGTGTATTTTACCACAATGGAAAACAAAAACAAAACCAGAAAAAAAGAATGCGTCTTCAAATGATCTGGTGACTAAGAATGGAAGTTGAGACTAGTCAGAGGCTAGGAAATCAGACATGAAAACGGATTTTTAAAAGCATAATATTTAATTGCTGAGGAGTCGTCTCAGCATAAAAATACTTATAATCCCATGGTGACCCAACGAAGAACAATGTAAACTCAGAATGCCAGGGACCTTGTTTTGCAGACCCTTGGTTTATTCCTGCAGACTACAAGCAGAGAGCTGATTCTGAGATTTGAGGTAACATTATCTGGATTTGGGAAAAGAAGACTTCAGTTTGCAGACTTTGCAGGAGAGACCATACTGTCCGTTGTTGAGAAGAGGGGCGTTGGTTTACGGTGAGTGGTGGAATATGTATAAATTGAGATTAAAGGAGATAGTCTCCCAAAGTGGACAAAGCCTGAAACTTCTCTCCTCAGCCCTCCATTCTTTCTCCTTCTGCCTTCAGATTGACAGAAGCTACAAGTCAAAATAAGTGGTTTGCTACCCTGGTCTCAAGCAAGTCTTCACTGGTCCCCATCTGGGTCGTTTCGATTGGTTTTCCCAACCAAACAGCACCCCCATGCTCCAGCGAGGGGACAGCAGCAAGGCCACCATCATGCTTCTTTGCAGCTTAGCCACCAGTCACAGCTGGTGGGGAGTGGTGGCCCTCACTTGCTCTCCCTGAGTCTTGGGGTATACTCTGCAACCAGATACTCGCATTTGTCTTTGCGAAGGGCCTGGACATTGCACTATAATAAAGGTGTGTGTGGAGAGTTTGTGAGCCCAGTCCTAAATTGGTTTGGGGGGCTTGAAGTTTTTTAGTGACTCCCTGAGACCCGAGAGAGTGGAGGAGCCACATCTAATGACTTGACTCTGCTTCCGGTCTCCTCCAGGCCTGCAGAGAGCTTGGCCTTGGCAGGAGTGATGTGGCCTACCCTTCAGGTGTAACTCCACCAGCCAGAGCAGCCCAGGAGGGGGCTGGCTAGGAGTCCAAACAAACTGAACTGGCCATTAAGGTTCTGGGTCAGACTCCAGGCAAACACGGGACTGACCAGGCTTAGGTCTGGATCCAAGCACCCACCCTGCCTCTGGCTCTCCCTCTGGAATGGGGCTCTTGCCCAGGAAAGAAACACACCACCTAGAGCAACTAACCGATTGTAATCTAAAAAACAGAGTTGTGTTGTTTAGAGGGAAATGGGGAAGGTGTTTTAGGGGTTGATGGGAAGACAGGTGTTCAAGGGCTCTATGGACCACATGGGGAAAGGGGCTGCTGGGCGCCTAGAGGGCGGCGAGCCCGGGAGCCCTGCAGCTGGAGATTTCCTAGGCCCGCCCCTCCCCCTCCTCTGGGAGGCCGTCTTCTTGGCAGACAGCAGATAGATGCATGACAAAGGGGCTATGATGGCTCTGTCCTGGGGGTTGGGGAGATGGCTGGGGAAAGGCCCCTCCTGTTTCAAAGCACATCTCTCCACCCCCACCAGGACCCTTAATCTATCTGCCTTTTGGGCAGTTAGTGGTTTAGAGGTAAATACAGCTCCAGCCCTGCTGCCCTGTAGATCCTCCAGCAGACCTGTAGGAAGTATTGAAATGCAGGTTACAATTGGTTGCCCAAAAGTATGTACAGATGGTCTGGAACAGGGGCTGTATGATATAGATTCAGAGGGGAAAAAAAGACAAAAAAAACCCCCATGCTCAAAGGACTCCCAGATACCACCAAGGCTGCCACAGTCAGGAGGACCCCCACCAGAACACTCAGACCCTCAGAAGGAAGATGCCGAGACATGACCCCAGCAAACAACCCCAGACCGAGCTGAGATGAAGTGACGCCTAAGTCGGCAGAGGTCCATGTCCCAGGCTCAGGATTCTGGCTTCCAAGCTGTAGGGAGCTCTGGTCCACAGCCTTTCCAGAGCCCCCCTCAAGTCACCTCGGGGCCTTCATTTAGGGCAAGTTTGGGGAGCAGACAGACAGGCATCATCCCAAACAGACAGTCTGAAATCTATTCTCTTGCAAACAGAATCAAGGACTAGGCCAGCAGCCTGAGCCCTTAGGACAGGCCCAGAAAAATAGACCCTGTGGGAGAGAGAGCTTAGGACAGGCTTCCTGTACCCCCTCCCCAAGTCACTCTCCACCCTCTCTGCATCTTTTCGCCAGCCCCCCTAAACAAAGGCTTGGGGGACTGGGGGAGGGGTGGGTGTCAAGGCTGGACGCCTGAGTCCTCTAGAAGGGGACGGGATACCTGGGTCCCAGCGGGGGGCCCGTCTGAGGCTCAGTCTTTGAGGGGATGTGGGGATAGTTGCTGGAGCTCTTGTAGCTGCTCTGAGGGGGATTCTGTGTGAGGGGATTGGGGCTGGGGGGTTGGGGGGCAGGAAGCTGTCCCCAGGGGAGCCATCCAGGCCCATTCAAGGGTTGAGCACTTGTTTAGGGTTAGAGCTGCCCCCTCTGGGGACCAGGATTGTCCAGCCAAGGCCATTGTCCGGCCCCCTTCCCCCAGTCCCTCCCAAAGCCTCTTTGAACCTGAAGTCAGATATTTTTTTCTCCCCCCTCCCTCCTTGGCTTTCCCCACCCAGGGCCTAGGGCTGGAGGCCTGGGCTGGGAGGTGGGGGAGGGAGAACAGTCAACTACAGTGCGGATATTCGGGTCCCTGAAGGGGGGAGGGTGGGTAAGAAACCTGATGTGTGCGACCCACAGTGGGGGATCCTTCAGGGGGTGTCCGATCCCTCTGTCTGGACAAAGGTTGGGAGATTGAGGCCCAGTTGGTCCAGAGCTAGCCCTTAGAAGGGAAAGTGGGGGTTCAATCCTTGGGTCTGGTAGGTGAGGGGGCTCTGGAACCAGGAAACCGGGGTATAGAATGGAAGCCTTGTCTGGCAGTCAGCTCCTGGCGATGGGGTGGAATTTGGCAGGCTGGGCAGATGGGTGCCGGGCATCATCGCAACTTTGGGGTAACTGAATCTGGCCAGTAATCTGGATGGGAATGTCTAGGTTCCCGGATTGGGGTGGGGGAGGACAGCAGCCGGGGTCTGCTAAGGAATTGAGGCGTACCCCCAGCAGTACTTGGCACATTACAACGAATGTTTGAGGAGCTGGCTGGCTGGGCTCCAGTGACAGTGCCAAGGTCTTTGGAGAGGGGTCCAGCACCCGGGCTTCTGGAAATCGTGCAGGAGGTGTGGAAGGGATCCCAGACGGCTCCCGATGTGCGCGGACGGTGGAGAAGGAGGGTGGCTTGCCGGGAGTTGGAAGTGAAGGTCCGCATGGGGGACTTGCAACCAAGAGCCTTGGGGTCTGGGGCCTGGAGAGGCTCCCAGTTGGAGCTCCAAGGTTTCGCCTTCCACCGATACCATCGCCACTGTCAGGCAAACACCCTCCGCCTCAGTTTCTCCCACCCCCACCGTCTCCTCCCCCACCCATCCAGGGGGCGGGGCCAGAGGTCAAGGCTAGTGGGTGGGATTGGGGAGGGAGAGAGGGGTTGAGCAGTCCCTTGGAGAGCCCTCGTTTTACTAGGCCCCCGGCTTGGGGCGCCTTCCTTCCCCATGGCGGGACACCTGGCTTCCGACTTCGCCTTCTCGCCACCACCGGGCGGTGGAGGCGATGGGCCAGGAGGGCCAGAGCCGGGCTGGGTTGATCCTCGGACCTGGCTGAGCTTCCAAGGGCCTCCCGGTGGGTCAGGAATCGGGCCGGGGGTTGGGCCGGGGGCCGAGGTGTGGGGGCTTCCCCCGTGTCCCCCGCCCTATGACTTCTGCGGAGGGATGGCCTACTGTGGACCTCAGGTCGGTGTGGGGCTGGTGCCCCAAGGCGGCCTGGAGACCCCTCAGCCCGAGGCCGAGGCGGGAGCCGGGGTGGAGAGCAACTCCGAGGGGGCCTCCCCGGAGCCCTGCGCCGCCCCGGCTGGCGCCGTGAAGCTGGACAAGGAGAAGCAGGAGCCAACCCCCGAGGAGGCGAGTGAGCTGCAGCGGGGCTGGGGGAGGTGGCCGCACGGGCCGGGGGCGGCCGCGGGAGGGGAA